AGATCAGATTTCTTTCATTCTGGCTCAAAGAAGCCTATCTAATGAAGGTGAAATGCCCATTTTATAAAACAGCTTTCCGTTTTGTCTGATATACATATGTGTGTGCATTCACTAAAATTTGGCATGGTATGGCAAAAGCCACAATAGTGAAACACCCAGTGTTGATTAAACTCACTTCAGCTAGGAGAGGAGTTTACTAACAATTATTCTATGAGTTACCATAATTGAAGTGTGGAATTTAGGTGTGTCCTCTCTTTTACTTTGGTTTTCTCCAAGTAGAAGTAAACAGATTAATTCCTTTTTCCTACAAGTACATCAGGGTTGGTAAAAAATATTAGGGCATATAAAAGTGTTGTTTTTTTTGAAGAGCTTCTCTGTTTTCAGAAACTGATGTAATGCTCTACAAATGTGACCATCTGATGATCTAAATATATTTGAGTGTCTATTGCTGACTTTGTTTTTACTTTGCATTTTAAAGCATCATGGTCAACAACCAATGGCCATTCACTTCTGGACTTTATTTCTAAAGATACATCATTACATTAAAAGCTGTAGAGTTGGTCTTTCATTTTCACCCATTTTTCTGCAAACAATTTTGAAGCACAATTTAAAATAATGCCTCAATGTGACTAGAATCTCTACATTTGTATCTTCCATTATAACAACATCAGTAACAAAGAATGCTGCAGAATAATAGTGATAATGAAACAATTCATATAATAATAATAATTGTAATAATGTAACAGAGACATAGGTAGTAATAAAATAAACTTTGGTGTAATGGTCTGTAAAATGAATGACAATACCTTTCATACACTCTAATATAAATGCAAACCATATGGTTTTCTAACTAGTATGCAATAGTAGATGACTTAAAGTATTAATTAAGTATGGTATCTAGTGAGACTTGAACTATATAGACAGTAAATTTATTTGAGAGACTGAACTGTAATTTGGCACAAATATTCTTTACAACCTTTAGAAATTCAAAGCCTAACAATAGAAATAATGAACTGTGAAATGAACTTGCTGACAACACTCTACAGCAATGCTTCTTAAACTATGGGTTACAACCCCAAATGGGGTTACAAATCGAAATCCTAGCGGTCACAAAAATTAAATTCAAACACTTGAATTTTAGTTTATATGTTATTTCACAAACACATAATATTTAACGTGCTATGCAAGTGCTGCAGTAATAAAATGCACGTGCAGCACTATTGCAACTAGTGCAGTGAAAACAAATATATTTACAGTGTAGTTGGTTAATACCTGAGGTTGCGTAAAATCTTGTGATGAAAAATGGTGTCATGAATGAAAAAGTTTAAGAAGCACTGCTCTAGAGCAACTCACACGATCATTGCATATATGATATGACTATTTAAGACTAGACATGTATAAAGTCATATGCAAAATTATATGAACACACATTGGAGCGTCAATTTCTTACCTGAAATTGTCACTTTAAAGTATATTATCTAAGTAATATATGTGATTGTATTAAGCATACTGACAATGAAGGAAAGGGCTGCCGATTTGTTGATGTGGAGGGGGGTCAAAAAATATAGGCAGACAAACATCAGGGACCTCTTTCCAGCTGAGAAAGGGACTGATCTTTTATGCTAAATTAGAGAGAGAGACAAACAACACCCTAACAACGGATAGACTTACCAACACTTACATTCTGTATACATGTGTGATTTGTGTAAAAACACACACTCATATATATATATATATATATATATACACACACACACATATATATATATATATATATATATATATATATATATATATACACACACACACACACACACACATATATATATATATATATATATATATATATATATATATATATATATATGACTCCAAAATCCGCTTGAGGATAAAATGGAACTAATGTCTTTAATTTAATTACAAAATTAAATTCAAGCTTTTAGCTTCCATTTTTGAAACATGGTTAGACCTGTGTAGTGAAAAAAAAACAAAACATATTTTACATCAATTAATTAATAATATTATATATATATATATATATATATATATATATATATATACACACACACACACACAAACCCACACACTCAAATATACACACAGGCATATATATATATATATATATATGTATACACACACACACACACACACACAATGAGTGAGTGAATGCAAGAGTATGCAAACTAAGGGAAAGTGAATATATGTCTACACACACTTACTATGAAAGTTATACATAAAGATATATAGATTTATTGTATATATGTAAACCTATTCATTTCCATTTCTGCAAGGCAGTTGCAGTTATTTGCCTTGGCCACCACTTGGCATGAAAGGGAAACACTGTCAGCCAACGACAAAACATAAATGCCATATTTAACACACCACCCCCACCCACCTGACTTGGGTCATGTGATTATTCTAAAATTCTTACCAGCATTTTCCTCCTTTAGAAAATAGCACTGTGACTTACTCCCACCTTTTTCTTTTCTACCCACCCCCCAACCACCTTTCTTATCCTGACCCTCAACTACATTTCACTTCTTTCAATTAGCAACCCCAAACCGATACCCTGACATAGCAGTATTTCTTTTTCTTGCCTGCAGCAACTCTCCGTTTTTCGGCAAGAGGCCAGACAAAAACAGGAAGGAAGAGAAATAGGCAGAATTACCACAGATTACCTGCCTTACCTACCCAGTATAATTTAACTGAAAATTAACACAAACTTGCACCCATCATTTTTTTTTGGTTTTGTTTTCTTTCTCTCTTTTCTAAAAGAATGGCTGAGGGGCACTTGGAAAAGAAAGGACATCATTTACAGGCAAAGATACAAGAGTAGGGAGAAGCAATGACGGGGTACACACAAGATACCTCATGTACATGTAAACTTCCCCAATCATAAACTGTTCACGAAACCTCAGATTTGGCCTGTCTACTGTCAAGGTGCTGAATAAATGTAACAGCTTCTTGCTGTTATGGCCTGGGTAGTCAAGTTAATGAAAAAGTGAGTTGGTCAAACTGCTCATTCTGCCGACTATTTTATTGCTTTATTATTATTCTGTTCTATATACAATGGCTGATTAAAATAACACATACTCTTGCATCCAATTATTATATTGTTGAATCTATGACTCTTTTGTGTTCTCTATAAAAGCCTCCAATTTCAAAGGCTAACAAAGCAGCCAACATTATATGGATTAATTCTCCTGCATGCCAGAGTCAATGCTTTAGGGTTTACTGTAGCAAAGCTAAGATACTTCAGAGCTTTTAGAACTTATTAGATCTGTCTACAAGTGGCTCCCATTATTTCAAGCAATTTGCCTCTGAAAGTGAAGAATTCTTTTAAAGATGGGATACATTTATTTGAATCTTTTTGAGAAGGGTCAGAGAATCACATTGAAAAAGATTCCAATTCCATGATATAACATTACATTCTTTCTATTCTTAATCCCAACCAACTATATTACAGAAAGTAGTTCAAGAGAAAACTGTTGAGATTGAACTTTCAAATTTTAAGCAGTGGCTAACTAGATAATCTTGCAGTGCATAGAAGTTGAATCCATGCTTAGTGAATATCAAAAAAGCTTTCTTTTTTCATATATATACAATCATTAGGCCATATATACATATATATGGCTTGATGACTGCATTTAGCATGAAACAGACTGTCACCTCTGGATGTTGATTTCAATGTCCACTTTTATATTTATATATACTTGATCCCTGATATGGAGCACTTTAACTGATAAATATAACATACCTTAAAACTATATCTATTACTATTTTTTTTATCCCTTAAAACTGTGCACCATATTTACAAAAACAGCTTGCTTTTAAAAGGTTAGCAATTTGGGGGCAAAACAATCTTTGTTATTGTCACACACAGACAAACACACACATCTCAAGCTTAGAGTCAAGGATGAAGTCTTCTTTCTCAGATTCAATTACAAGGTTAATGTCATTTGGTTAAGACACAAATCCAAAATCATTGCAAATTATTTACAACACATTCTTCATTAAGATCAAACTGTCATGGCTTACAGGGAATTTGCTCAATTGCCAACTACACACAGCAACTAATTCAACCAAAAATGAAAGACAATGCTAAAACTCTGCCCAGGAAAAAAATGAGAACTTGAGAAACATTGCAGTAAAGTTACTTAATATCTTGAGTGCAATGGCTGTCATATGATGATGACGGACATGTTTTCTTTTAAGACTTCATAGTTTATAAATCAAGTAACTTAATGCAGAACCTACTTCAAAGAAATTAGATATCGAGTCTTTTATTGATGTACAGTTTTGCACAGGTCGCTAGTGAAATTTGTGATCATTATTTTGTTCAAAGTTTATGCTCCTATAATAAGAAACTAACAGATATTCAAAATACCTCTCAATATTTCTTTTTTATTTTCAGAAATACCGATAAATAAATAACCAGGTTAAGCCCAGTAAATATGTCACTAAGTTAGTATAACATAAGGCTAAATTGTGAGGAATATATACAAAGATTGTGTAGCATCAATTTTCAAAGTTTTTGTTTACTTGCCTTGAATTATAGGCATTCAAAATTCTGGCTTTACTTACACACAAACACCAACAATCACTTGCATAAATAAGGAATACTCAACTATCCCCACCACTGAGTAAACTATTCCCTGAATGTACTAAGGCAATATATATAGTTATTAAGTAAGGCAGAATAGAAAAGGATATGCCAGAGGTGACATTATGTTATAATCAATTTTGCACATCAGGGCAACTGACTAGTTTCCTTCAAAAGCAACATAGAAAATACTGCCATTAACAATGTTCAAACACAATCCCCTTACACCAATCAGTAATGCTCAACAACCTCAGCCATCAAGCAGACTGGTCCCTACCCATATAGATATCTAATAAGGTCAAATGAAGGAAATAGATTGCTTGATTTGTTTTTTACAGCTTATCAACCATCTGTAGGTTATTTAAAGCCAGAGCATTTCAGATTGTAGGAGATTGCTTACAGTATACAATGTTCCCAAGTGGTTCCCCATCTAAGTACTGACAAGGCTTGACACTGCTTAACTTTGGTGATCAAACAAGAACCAGTGTTTTCAGCATGGAAGGGAATAAGAGTGCTAATATCAGGTTAGATAATTCTTGCAAGTTTTGAAGACAGCCCTTCAATAACAGTTTTGGTCTTGACCTTGCCTCAGTGCCAACCACTGGTCCCATTTGGATATACCCAACTAGCCAAAAGGCAGTCTCAGTAGTTGCCATATCCAACAACTTATGGGAAAGTCCTAAATGCTATGAATATTGCAGAAATCCTTTTAGGGGTGAAAAAAGAATAGAGTGCATTTATTTTATTCAGAAGAACCGAGAATGCTTCAAATGTGTTAATTATCTTGAGATGTCCTCAGGGAAAAGTCAGAAATACAGGTGGGGATCTTCTGCTCAGACCAAGGCATTCATATTCATTTAACAAATACAAATCATATATAAGGAGACAGTGTGAGCATGGAGGGATTCCTCACAAAATACAGTTTGGTCATTTGGTCAGATTTTTGGAAGTGGGTTGGGGTGAAAACATTTTAGCAAAATCATCTTGTAGAATAACAATACAATAAACAGCACTTACCAGTGTAAGGGTCCCAGCTAGCGTCCAGCTGGCAGACAAAAATAAAGCAGGTTGTAACTCAATACAAACCCTGCAAACTGACTGGAATCAAGCTGGTATTTATACAGAAATACCTCCATTCATGTACCAGCAGCCAATCACAGCCCAAGCAATGGACTATCCCACTTTAGCACAATGAGATGCTCCATGGCACAATCAATAGCTCTCTTTCTCAAGGTGGAGTCATTATTGACTCAGCTTGCTCCACGACTGAGTGTTTATCTTGACCACGTGATTGTTCTACACATCTAAATGTCATAGGCAAAGTGAACAACTAGTCCCATTGTAAAGAATACCTGAAACTTGAAGACCACGTATAAAATCATTTGTGTACATTCTCTTAGTATTCTATGAGTTACTAGGTTGGTAATGTGTAAAATTATGAAACTGCAACAAAAATGGTACTTTGTTACAACCAACTGATAATTTGGTACCAAGAACACCCTCCCCACTCTGCACAAAATGGAGCAGAAAAGTTCTTGGCTCACTTCTCCAAAACTGACCAAATACAGCAGAATCTGAATGGGATCTTTTCCTGGTTAGGCCTAGAACTTTTCAGTACCTTCTAGTATATATGTACATGATGACGATGAACGCCTATATTCACATATGAAGGTCCAATAATTGAGCATTATGTAAGACAGGCTGAACAGTTAGACAATCCACAGAGAGGAATTGTTTGAAGTGGTAAAGGTTTGTGTAGGACAAGTCAGAGAAAAAAAAAAGGCTGCACAGTGTGCCACACCTTCACTGAACTGCATTTCTCAGGTTTGCATTATATGACAAGGGAACTAAAATGCCCCCCTCCCATGCTTCCTTGGGCCAGTTTGACCTGCATATCATATTTGATTTCAACTGAAGACCTCAAAAACACAATTAAATGGGTCATCACCAGTGTTAACATTTGTTTATTCCTAGGTTTTTTAATAGAGATTCTATCTTCCAGATGATAGGCTGCTAGTTAAGGTCAAAAGATACCATTCCATACAAGCTCATAATCATAGCCATCTCTCCACCCAGGAAGAATGCCAGTCAAAGCTAACAAACCCAATGTACTTGGTGGGTCTTTTGTATATCTGCCAAAAACTGATGATTCCTTAAGGCAAAAAAATACAGCTTGGGGGTTGTACATCATACTATATATATGTCATTGATATTGTTTTCCAGATATATAAGGATTGCCGTGAGGTGTAAGACATTGATAAACCTTAAAAGAGAAACAAGACATTGTAATGTTAATGTGTGAGAGGAAGAGAATGTTGGAAATTGGGAAAATGTTGAATAGTGATCTCAAAAAAAAAAAAATGATAATGAAAACACTGACATGAAAAGAAATAAAAAAAAAATGGTTCCAAGAATGTCATAAAACAAGAACTGAAAAAAACTAAAAGACTAAAAAGCAACAAAATATTTGGTCTTGCAAATGCAAATAGAGGGAAAAACTGCAGAACATTAAGAACATCAGCTAAAGACATGAATGCAACCAAATTATCACCTTTAAGAAAACCTCACAAAGTCAAAGTTCAATGAAAACGTACATAATTTCTTGGCAGTCAGTTTTAGTGACTAGCCAAATACCTGTTCTAAGAACATAAAATGTTGTAATCTTCTCTAAAATTTCTCTATAAACAGCATTTTCAACAAAAGCTCTATTTATTAAAGTTCTTGTTATTATGCTAAGTCCAGTTTTATTTCTTACTCTGGACATAGCTACATAGAGCTGACCATGCTAATTTCATATTGTTAACTGAAAATAACATTTCTCTACATTCCAGTTGCTAGGAACATTCTGTTTTTGTTTTTATTAGTTACCTTGTTCAATTAAATTCATTTTGTATTTTGCTTTGATAAAGTCCACATTGGACGAAACGCGTCAGCAATTACTAGTTTTCCTATTGTCATTTTTATTCATAAATATTGTCTTCTCTACTGGTTAAATCAGAGAAATTTTCATGAATATATATATATATATATATATATATATATATATATATATATCTCCACAGAGGAGTCTATATATATATATACATACATACATACACACACACACAGAGGAGTCTAATGGCAGTAATAAGGAGTATGTTTGTGTGTGTGTGTGTATATATATATATATATATATATATATACACACACACACACACACACATATATAAACATAGGGACACAGCCACACCATGGTAGGTGTCAGTGCTATAGATTCTGTAGCAAATCGGTTTTTATTGGGTGTAGATGTCAGCCCCATGCCCAATTAGGTTTTTGAATTCCTGCTTGTCCTTCTCCTAGACTAGTTATTGACCAAAGCTAAAGAATCCAGTTTCCTTGTTATTTAACCCACACCTGGGGAGAGAAAAGATGGATTCATACTTTTCCCAAGGGTATTTGTGTGAAATACAAGAACCTTGGCATAGCATTTCCACTTTCCACATCAATAACTGCTACACATTATGCACAACTGCACACATGCCTAAAAGAATTCATAAAGCATCAATGTGTAAAAATATATATATATATATATATATATATATATATATATATATATATATATATATATATGTGTGTGTGTGTGTTTCAGTAATTATCATATTTTCCAGTCTCCAAACTGCAATTTTTTTCCTGAAAACATTATAAAATTAACATAAAATTAAACTGAATATTCATTTTTACTTTAACAATAAATTTCATTTCTATCAAAAGCTGAGCTGCGGAAATACTAAATTTGTATTGGTAGTTGGACTTTCTCCAACACCAAGAAATGCAGGAGAGACTTTATTACATGCAAGTCAATATAAATGCGACATTTTCATCAAAGCTAAAAACTTTGTAGAGAACTGAATAGAGATTGAAAAGCTTCCAAACTTAGTTTTCAAGCAATTATACACGATGTCATCATTTGCTAATGAATGTACTTGACAGAACACTTAATACTTGCAAGTCCTCACTTCGTTATCTGTGAGTAACACAAAAATCTTTTAAAAAAAAAAATAAAAAAATAAAATAATAATCTCATTTTACCTAGCAACGCTTTTCAAAGAAATAACCCATCTAGATTGTGTTTTCTTTTTTCTCTTTCAAATGTGGTTTTCTTTAATTATATTTTTAAATATAATAATTGATTGCTTTAAAGAAATCATATTTTTATTATTTTGTTATTTTTTTATGGACAAATTTAAGAAAAAAACTTTAATGTGATTAAATCTGTATAAAAGAGCATATTAAAAATCTAAGATGAAGAAATGGGAATTTTTTTTAAAGTGTACAGATTTTTTTAAAAAATAATCTTTACATCTGTTTGTTGTTTTAATTATTATTATTTTTTTTTTTTTTTGAGAAATAAAAAAAGCATTTTGAAATGTCCTCACTCCATTTATCTAATGCTTGCTGGTCCATACAAGGTCTATCCAGGAAGTATCCATTTAATATTAATGAAATAGTAGCCTACCTAGGGCAATAGTACAATAGTATCCTTTAAAATTTCACTTAGAAACTTCTCACACTTATCCCAGCATTCCTTCCAATTTTTCAAACAGTATTTTTTTGCAAAACTGTCATCAGATGCATTGTCATATTCCCCTTAATCTTGTCAATAGTCTAAATTATTTCTTAGAGAAAATTCAGATTTTGCAATAAGACAAACCTGGATGGGGTGAAGTGGTACAGATTTATGTAATACAATATTTTATCAAAAAACACTATACAAGATATCATGTGACAGTGCACACACTCAGTCAATAATATTTCATGAAGATTGAATAACTCCATGGTAGTATGTGCATGTTTATGCATATAAAGTAAGGTCTTTTCTGATTGGCTGTGAAATTATGGCTGTACAATTGGTCCTCAAAATATTCAAAATGGCTGAAAGCTATGCCCCCCCCAAAAAAAAAAACATCCAGCCATTTTGCTCATGAAACAAGCTCTGTTTCTGTAGCAATTTGATTTTCCTTCAAATTATACAATTAACACAACTCCAAAAACATTTTCTCCACACACTCCGTACTGATTTCAGTTCGTTTATAAAGGAGTGGTGAAAAATTATCAAACAAACAAAGAAGCTATTTAAAAAATTTATTCTAATATTTAATCATTTGTTCAAGGTTTTGAGAAATGAGTTGGACTAAGAACTTTTCAGCACCTCCTTGTATATTTAAAAATAATTGAAGCACTTGCCATAGAGTGATAGCTAATGACTGAATATTATATACCATTTCTTATATAATCAATTGAATTTTCATGTGTGCTCAACTATTTTAACCTGTGAAAGACTTAGATAATTTTAGTAATTATTCACTAACAATATGTTCAGTAATGGTTCAAAAGCAAACCTAGCAAGCTACTGTTACTGAATTTGATTCTTAATGAGTGCCCACTATTATGGCCCTGTGCCAGACAAAGTAGAGATCTGTAAACCATGTTTAGAACAAAGTGTGTTTGTAATTTTTAACAAGC